TGATTTATAGCTGATGCCAAAAGCCCTGCCTCTCTGCACTGGTGCTGAATCAAGTCACAGAGTTTTGGGTGAAGTAGAAGAGAATAGCTTTATTGCTTTACCAAGCAAAAGGTGATACAGTGGGCTCTTGCCTTCAAAACTGTGTGTCCCTGTTGCAGAAACCAGTACTCGGGAAACCAAGTACCACACTCAGAGAGCTGGAGAACTCAGATTTATTATACCAGCAGGCCCAGAGAAGTTAACACTCCAAACTCTGAGCCCTGAACAAAGGGGTTACAGAGTTTTTTATACATGGACAGGCATGATTAAGCAGGTTTGTGGGTTTGCAGGGGCTAGGGTGATTGCAAAGAGCAGGACAAGGGTGAGTGAGATAAACTCCAGTTCCTAGTCTTATGAGTCTCCACTTTCTGAGACCTATGTGATCTAGACTTTGCAAGGAGCAAGCTGGGTTACAGAGGCAGAAGAAGCAGGAGGTTATGTAAAATTTTAATTTTTCCTCTTCACTCCCCCCTCTTGATGCTTCTATCACTTGTTGTAGAAAGCATCATCTCATGTTTTGGTAGGACGTTCAGAGCTCCCCATCATTTAGGGGGCTATATTGAGCTAGTACCATTTGTAACTTTATGGATTCAATCCAAGAGGTTATGAACTGGTAATTACATTGAGAATACAAAGGCCAAATAAGAGCACCACAAAGAACATGAAGAGAGGAGCTGTAAAAGGGAGAAGTCACGACTCCCAGTTCCATATATTGTCCTAATTACCCCAGAAATTAGCTAGTTTCTCTCTCCTTTTTATGACTTGTTTCCTTAGCTGTTGGGCCATGTCCCTGACTATTTCTGATTGGTTTACATAAAAGCAGCATTCTTCATTTAAGAAGAGACAGAGTCCTCTCTTTTCAGCTGTCAGTAGGTCTAGAAAGTGAAGAAAGTGAAGTCGTTCAGTCATGTCCGACTCTTTGTGACCCCGTGGACTGTAGCCTATCAGGCTCCTCCATCCATGGGATTCTCCAGGCAAGAATACTGGAGTGGGTTACCATTTCCTTCTCCAGGGGATCTTCCCAACCCAGGGATCTAACCCAGGTCTCCCGCACTGGAGGCAGACGCTTTAATCTCTGAGCCACCAGGGAAGTCTAGCCCTCTCCTATTCTGTAAAACCACCTCAGCCAGGGAGTCTAGTTGGTCCTATAGTGAAAAGCACAGCAATAATACCGATTAGGGATAGAGGCCAGGGTTGATAATGAAAATCCATTGATATTTTGATAGCCAGATCCTTGAGCTTCTGCCATGCATTGACCAGTCAGATGCCAGATCCTTGAGCTTCTGCCATGCATTGACCAGTCAGATGCCAGAGTGTGGCTGGAACAAGGCTGAAGAATCCTCAGGCTTCTGCCATGTATTGACTACTCAGCTTCCAGAGTGACTAGAGCAGGGCTCAGCGTCCTTCATGGGTGAGGGCTGTTGTCTTTGGAACTGGACCTTGAGGAGGTTTTTGGGGTCCCTAACTGATTTCCTGGTTTACTCATCACAGGAAGCCACTGCTTTCTTGACTCTAGTGTGGTGGATCCAAGGGATGACATCTGTAACTTTAACAGCAGTAGGGGTTGACAGGACGGCCGTGTGAAGGCCTGTTCAAACTGGCTGAAGTGGTTCCTTCTTTTAATCTTTAACCCATATCACATCTCCTGGCTGATAGGGATGAATCCAATTGTCCACAGAAATGGGTGTCCTTATTAAGGTTTCTTGGGTGATATGATGGGAGACTTTTCCAGGGCCTGGAGGTCCAGGTCAGCTAGTTGTTGGTGGTCTCCCTTGAGCTTTTTTTAATTACTGGGGGTGGTCTCCTGTATAAGATCTCAAAGGGAGAATAGCCTGAGGACCTTGGGGTGCATTTACAGAGGGAGAGGAAAATCCACAGAATGATAAGGCAGCTTGTTCTAGCATTGTCTGGGCGTTGGCCAGGGTATATTCTTGTTGTACTACTACTTGGAAAAACAAATTTAACAAGAAAGTTAAAGATATATTGCCCAAAGATTAATAGAAGTAGAAAAACTGTTGTGGGACTAGCTAGGAGAACCAGGTCAAGACACTGGTTTGTGACATTAATGCTTCTCTAGGTATGAGAAGATGCAAGAATTTGAACTCACAAAAGTCTTTACCTGAAAACATCTGACTATCTGAAGGCCTCTTTTCCGGGTTTTTCCCAGAGCACAGAGTGCCTTATTTTTTGTCTCTACCCTGAACTCCTTTCAAGGTGGTGTTGAAGGTCAGCATCTTGTAGTGGTCTTGATTTAATCTTTGTAGAGGCAGTTGGCAAAGGCAAACTTCCAGTCAGCAGGGCTCCTTCATAGCCACATATTTGACCATGTTTTGGGGGCATTTCATGGTCATTGTGTCCCATGGTGCTGAGAAGGCTCATTCCCAGGTCTAACAAAGATTCCATTGACAGGCCACTCAATGTGTTGTCACTAGACCAGGCCTTGTACGTAGCAAAAGTCTCTGGACCATACATGTCTTACTAACCTCTTGGTCCAGGAAAATATTTCCTCTTGTTGCTTCTTCCTATATCTAGAGTTACATTATTACAATTATTGATCTCATATGTAACTGCATATCAGCATTTTATCACAGGCTCAGTCACACATTTGGTAAAATGAGAAATAATCTTCTGAAGCAAGCTACATAGAAAATAATATTGCTAGCAGTTATTAGTAAGGTCACAAGCAAGAATTTAAGTCAAGAACTTCATTGGGTATAGGCTGGTATACCCCAGGTCATCAGACTCAATTAAATGATTATAGCCAAGTGTTAATCTCCTGGTTGTACATCATGGAGCATCTGACCCTTATCCATGACTGGTTACTGAGGTAAGCTTTAGAAACAATCTTAGAGTGTCTTTTTTAGTAACTTAATTAAAACTTTTAGCAAAACATAACAAGGAACTATCTTAGAAGTGAGTCTTAGTAAGTGCAGACCTTAATTAACAAAATTAAAACTTAATATTCAGTGAAACATAATTTTTTTCTTTTTTTGGACAACTCATTTTGAGGGCATTAACACTGTAGCCAGGTAAGACTTTAACCCATCAAATAAAAATGGGGTCTGTCAGGGAGCTGGGAAAAGCCAAGTGGTTGTCTTGGATTTCCCATAGTCCTGGCTTTTTGATTTTCAACTGTTGTTTACCCATTTTTAATTTCCTGATTTAGGAAGACTATTGTCATGTTTTAGGACATCAGGATAGCAAAAGTCTAACTGTGAGGGGTTATTTTTTGTTGTTGTTGAAGCAGAATGAGCTTTGTCTACACGTACCATAATCTTAAATAATGTTTATTTACTTTACCAAAGTAGCAAAAAGATTTTAAAAACAAATATAAATCACTTAAAGGCAAAGAAATTAATAATCTGTTATTGAAAGCTGCATTTTAAGAAAACTTTGTTTTCTAAATAGAGAGACCAAATTTCAGTCTGGTACCAGCTTATTATTAATAACAAAATTTGTTTATCTGCTTAATCTTAGAAAGTCTTCTATAAATCTTGAAGAACTAGCAGTATTTTTCTAAAGGCGTGAGAACAAAACCATAGAAGGCATTTTTAAAATCTGATTCTATTGCAATTGACAAAGAAACCTGGTCATAACTCTTTAATATGATAAGTAGAATTATAATTGACTATATTTTATCAGAGCATATCAAATCTATATGAATTTTACACAATTTTAGGATATCTATATTTATAACATCAACCATACAGTATAATCTGAAAAGATTTATCACCCCTTCAACAGTACTTCCCATGTAATTTAACATGTCCAATGAACCCAGGTAGCTTAATAGCTCTTTGGGATGTCTCAGGTGCCCTCTGAAGCATCCCAAAGTTAGCTAGAAGTCAAGTTACTTAGGAAGTTTTGTCAATAAATATCAAAAGGGTTTATAACACTCAGTCAGGTAGGATTATATAAGTCACTGTGAAATAATAGTTATTCACTTAGCCAAAGTTAACAAAAGATTTTAAAAGTAAATATAGAACAGATCCATTAGGATGTAAAGAAACTTAAATCTGTTATTAAAAGCATCTTTCTTCAACATCTGAAGAAAGTATGTCCTCTTAACAGAGAGAAAGGCCAAATTCAAGTTTTGCCCCAGCTTACTTTAAACTCATTTAGGTAAACAATTAATTTATTTTAAACTTAGTCAGTACTTACCATGCACAAAACATTTTAGGGCCCACTTTCCACAAACCTTTTAATCACTTTCTGTAACAACCACCTGTAAGTCAGACCTTTCTTTGCCTTTTATAAAATATAATTTTATTTTTCATCTTCTTTACTAAAAACATACATCTTACTTCCTTATTAGATTAGCAAATAAACATTAATACTGGATATTTAATATTGAATATTTCCCAGCTTACATGAACCTGAAATTTATTTAGGTTAATTTTTCTTATATTTAAAATTGTTTGATTTGTAAGCGCTTACTTTTCTTTAGGCCAATTAAATTAGAAAGTATTTACAACTTCAACAATATTATAAACAAAAAAAAGACCTATATCGAGATATACATAAATCCAGACAGACAGAGATCTTATAGTTTTTTGTTTGAGATTTAAAAATGTCTCTTTGACCCCTTTTTTTCTTTGCCTGAAGTTCTAATTTGCCCAAGGCTGAGGTCTCAGGCAAAGTGGACTGTGTATTTCAAGGACATGGAAAGGGTTAACTTCAAGCTTTTTCCTAGGCAGGCCTTTTAACAAGCTAGTTGTTTTTAATTGTATGTGCAAAAAGAATTGGCTTTGTAGTTTCCAAAAAAATTTCTCTCACTCTGTTCAATCAGCAATCACGCACTCTCAGTCATTCAGAGGCTAGCTATCACAATGCCTCCCTTCTCCTGAATCCCCAGGTTTCCTTAACTGTTGCTCCCTTCCTGGGAGCCCAAGGAGGTGATCAGTCTCCTCTTCTACCAGTTGGGATAGGTTCTTGCCTAGGCACCAGTCCTGGAGCCTTACCTTATCTTGTGGCCATTCTTGGTGAGTTGTTCCATCCCTCCAATGAGTCCGATAGGGGCTCGGCCTTCTGGAGAGTCGAAACACAAGTCCGAAAGAAAACCCTGAATACTATCAGGTAGCATGCCTCCTCGTTTGTCTTGGGGTTCCTTTGCTCAAGCCTGGCAAAGACACCAGTCCGGTGGTTCAAGGGGCCAGCGTGGTTGGAATCTCACTGGAGCCTCCAGAAATGTTGCAGAAACCAGTACTCGAGAAATCAAACACCACACTCAGAGAGTTGGAGAACTCAGGTTTATTATGCTGGTGGCCCAGAGGAGTTAACACTCCAAGCTCTGAGCCCGGAACAAAGGGGTTACAGAGTTTTTTATACATGGACAGGCATGATTAAGTAGATTTGTGGGTTTGTAGGGGCTAGGGCGATTGCAAAGAGCAGGACATGGATGAGTGAGATAAACTCCAGTTTCCTCAGAAAGTGAGTCCCCACTTTCTGAGACCTACATGATCCAGACTTTGCAAGGAGCAAGCTGGGTTACAGAGGCAGAAAGAGCAGGAAGTTATGTAAAATTTTAACTTTTCCTCTTCATCCCAACCTGGGAGGTTTTGATGAGGAATATTATAGCTTCCCTGGTGGCTCAGACAGTAAAGAGTCTGCCAGCAATGCAGGAGACCCGGGTTCAATCCCTGGCTGGGAAAGATCCCCCGGAGAAGGGAATGGATACCCCTTCCAGTATTCTTGCCTGAAGAATTCCATGGACAGAGGAGCCTGGTGGGCTACAGTCCATGGGGTTGCAAGCAATCTTATAGCAATTGTTCAAGGACAGGGTTGCTGATAAGGATTAGAGCCTTAGTGAAGGGCCTATCTAGCTTCTTTAACCTGGTCGCAGGTAATCTCTTGATGAACTTCTCTGGTTTCTTTAATCTGCCCCCAAGTGGTCTTCTCTGGAAGGCAGAATGTTAACTTTATCTGTTGGGGGGTTTATTTCTGTAAAGAGTTTCAAGATTGTTATGTGCAAACCAGGGCTCTGCCCCAGGGCTGCACTATTGTTTCTTGGTTGCTCCTCTTGTCTCTCAGTCCCCTCCCCTTCCTGATTAGCAACTGTTCAAATCTTCCCTTTGGGACTCAGGGAAGATCCTGGAAGCTGGAGTCTATTCCCTACAAACAAGACATGGGGAACACAAAGAGGCTCCTGTGCCCGGGAGCCCCACAGAGTCTTGCTAGGTTTCATAGCACCTATGTGCAATTTTAGGGAACAATTTCCAAAGTATTTGGTTTATGTCTACACTTTTCATCTGTCGTGTTCTTCTTCAAATAGATGTAGGAACTCTACCTCTTTTGCTAAATATTTTGTTCAGTGTGTCCATGAAGAAAGATACACAACTTGAGAGTTGCGAGTTGAGTTTTATTTGGGGCAAAATGAGGACTGCAACCCGGGAGGCAGCATCTCAGATAGCTCTGAGAAAGTGCTCCAAAGCAGCAGTGGGGGAAGGTCAATATATAAGATTTTGGTGAAGGGGGAGTTCAATACCATGAAGCACTCATCTTACAAAAGGTTTTTGTTAGTCACAAGGATCTGATGTCACCAGGAAGGATTTAGTTCTTCTCTGGATATGAGGAGAGGCAAGGGTTGAGATCATAAAATCTGTTCCTAAAAACTATCTGAAGACCTGTCCCACCAGATTCCCTGGATCACAGTGTCTCACTCCACCCTGAACTCCCTCAGGGGTTATTGAAGGTCAACAGCTATAACAGCACGGGGTTCAATCTCCATGGCAGATGGCAAATGCCTTGGTTGTTCACTTGTTGACAATGCCTTTGGTAAGTGCCAGTTTGTAGTTGACAAGTGCTTGGTATTTGCTGGCTCAATCTTGGACACAATTTATGAGTTTGATCCCCAGTTCCCTGTTTGGTTCCTCAGCTTTTTTTGGTTCCTTTTTGTAGAGTGAAAATACCAGTCATGCTGAGACTCTTCTGATTTAGACTAAAAGCCATAACATAGGCATTTGGAAACCTATGACTGCTTGGGGGGCCATATGGCAACTTAAAAGAGTCCCTGTTACTGTTGCCAAGTCCCTGATTGTTATGAAAACACAACTCCATTGTTTCCAAAGCCCTAGGAAGAGGACAGCTAATGTTTCCTTCTTCTTTTGCAAAAACAGCAGGAACTGTAAATAACAATCCTCTAGATAGTACCAATAGGTAAACATTTCCAGGGTTTGTTATCCAAAGTGCTAAAAAGTCTACCTTCTTATTGGGTAATCAAACTTAAAGAGGTTCAGAATTTCTGTTGCTAATAGTGGGAGCTAGCTAGAGAAGGAATTATATGGGGAAGAAAAACAGTATCTTTACTCCCAAGCATGAAGTAAATATGTTGACTTTTATCATATTTTGAATCTAGAAAAACATTTTATTCCAGATAGTTCTCCTTTCCTGAAAAAAGATTTGAAAACATTTGAAATATTTAAATTAAATATTTAAATAATAGTATTCATAGTTATTGTTATTATAGGACAACCACTTTATAGTCTTATATAATTTAAAAGTTTTTTGGTGAGTTGGAAGTTCTTAGGTTAGTTAAACATCAAAAACAATTCCTGAGTCTTCTTCTTAATTTTAGGTATGAAGTGTACTGGACCTAATAGACTTGGTTGGAAAATAATTTTCTGACATTGACACATGTGAAACAAGTATGATTTGTGTCACTTCGCATGATTACTGTGAATTCATTGTGTATTTGGTTACTATATGTGCAAGATATCTCTGTCTCTATCTATAGGCTATATATAATTTTTTTCCTAACAAACCACATACCTTTTGGGTATTCCTAGCACTCTGCATTCTCTCTCCTGTGGAGAGACTTGTTAATCAACAGGCTCTCAGAGTCAGTCTTTTTTGTCCTCTAAGAAACTTCTGCATTCAAGAAGTCTGCCGAGTGCTCTGTTATATACAAGAACAAACTTCACTACCTTCTTTCCCCAAATGATTGCTCCATTTGTTGGGGTCTGATTTATATTTAGCTGCATAAATATAATAGTATAAAAAATGTGAAAATAGGTGCTGAGAATCACTGATTATTAGTTTTGATTTGGGGAAAATCATAGAAATAATGACATATGAAAAAGATTTCAACAGAGAAGAAAGATTCCTGATTTCGGACTGGGCATGGAATTTCAAGCAGAGGAAAAAGCATGAACAGGGTCTAAGAGCTCTCTAAATTGTCTATCTTGCTATCTAGTTATAACTTTTGTGGATATTTCAGACTATGTTACATTGAATTGGATGTTAATAGAAGTACTGTAAAAGAGCACAGCAGCTGTATTTTATACTGGTGGCTTTGGGGGAGAGAAAATATTAGTTCAAATGTCAGTTCTCAGTCAAGTATCTCATGAGATGTGTTTCAAATATTTAGCATGGAAGTACTCACATATATGTGTGCATGCATACACACATACTAATGATGCCTTTGATCCTGGTGAAAGAAATCTTCTTGTCTCATCTCAGAAAGAATTCAGAAATCAGACAGGGCGGTCTAGAAAGTATAGTGGGAATTTATTTAAACAAAAGTATGCCCTCAAAGGGGGCTTCCCTGGTGGCTCAGAGGGTAAAGCATCTACCTGCAATGCAGAAAACCTGGGTTCGATCCCCAGATCTGGAAGATCCCCTGGAGAAGGGAATGGCAATCCACTCCAGTACTCTTGCCTGGAAAATTCCATGGACAGAGGAGCCTGGTAGGCTACAGTCCATGGAATCGCCAAGAGTCACACCTGACTGAGCACCTTCACTTCTTCTATGCTCTCAAAGGGAGGGCAGGCAAACAGGTGAGTTTCTTTGGCAAACAGGTTTATGTGGGGCATGCAAATGAAGGGGCAGGATATTAATCAAAGAAGGTGGAGTTTGGGGGATCTTATTCCCTGATTTTCATCCCAGCTCCACCTTCCACAGGGGAGGAGGGATTTTTGTCCTTATTTAGCCTTGATTAGAAGTGTCATGGTGTCAGTGAAGATGGGTACTTCTTATCTGCAAAGCTAATTATATTGTAATGAGGACATAATGAGCCGAAGGTTACATTCAGAAGCTGGAGATTCTTGCCTTTTCCCACTTTTTTTGTCTGCCTTCAGGACACTTACCACCCCAAAATGTGTGCTTTCCTGTCAGTCGGGAGGTTCCTGCTTTTTTGGCTGTCCATGGACCCGCACTGTTCACAAGATGTGTGGTTTCCTGCCACCTGGCCCATGTCCCCTTTCTCTTCTCATATGTAGCTACCTGCCTGGTGTAGCACTTTTGCCCCTTTGCATGTCCCATCCTGCCCTCTGCCAAAGTATGCCTGCCTTTGTAATCAAGGAAGCTGATGAAACAATCTCCCATTACATAATTAGGTGTAATACCACAACTAATCACTTAAACAGCTCTCATTGTGTACATCACATGCGTTATCAGATTACAGTGATGTTAACCAATTTTCAATGATACAGTAGTCTACTCTAGATTTGCTGGATCCAAGAGATTCCTCATGAGCTGATTTTGCAATCCTTTTCCATCTACTTCTGCTTTATTGACTATGGCAAAACCTTGGATTGTGTGGATCACAACGAACTGTGGAAAGTTCTTCAAGAAGTGGGAATACAGACCACCTGACCTGCCTCCTAAGAAATCTGTAAGCAGGTCAAGAAGCAACAGTTAGAACCAGACATGGAACAATGGACTGGTTCAAAATTGGGAAAGGAGTATGTCAAGGCTGTATATCATCACCTGGCATATTTAACTTATATGCACACTACATCCCACAAAATGCTGGGCTGGATGAAGCACAAGCTGGACTCAAGATTGGCGGGAGAAATATCAATAAACTCAGATATGCAGATGACACCACCCTTATGGCAGAAAGTGAAGAAGAATTAAAGAGCCTCTTGAAAGTGACAGAGGAGAGTGAAAAAGTTGGCTTAAAATACAACATTCAGAAAACTAAGATCATGGCATCTGGTCCCATTACTTCATGGCAAATAGATGGGGAAACAATGGAAAAAGTGAGAGTCTTTATTTTGGGGGGCTCCAAAATCACTGCAGATGGTGACTGCAGCCAATAAATTAAAATACGCTTGCTCCTTCGAAAAAGAGCTATGACAAACA